ATCGGGTAAACGGTCCCTTTTAAAATTTTGAATAAAAAAGGTAGTATGACCATTATAGATAGACGTACCTTTATAACAGTTTTTGAATGCATTCCTCACGCTTCCACATCCAAGTTCTTCAATATTTGATACTGCCTCGTTGTATGATGTTTCCCCTGGTATCCACCGAATAGATATTCGAGTTGGGGCCTCGGTTGGCAGTGCGACTGTGATGTTACCTTCTGCTGTTCGGATTTGGCCGTTCGTTACTTTCAAAAATTGTTCGCGGCAGCTCGAGTTGGGATCTTCCGTAGCAGCGAAGGTGCAAATCCATTGCCCCTTTCGACCTTCGAAGAGTCCCGTTATGTTGTCGACAAACTTTCGGGTGGACGAGTCGTTCTTCAAGATGTCGAGAAGGCGAGGAAAGTCCAGATCTTGAGTGGTCGTCAGGAAGAGTGTACGCGGTCTTGTTGTTGCGACGGAAGTTTCTTCTTTCTCTGAAGTCTTCGAGGCGGCTTCGGCGTAGTTCATTCTCTTTGTTTTCTTCTTTCTTCGTTGCTATCGAGGGCCTAACCCGGTGAGGGGTTGCCTTAATCAAAACAGCAATAATTTATTTTCCTTCGTCATATTGCTGTTTGATAAGCGCGGCATTAATTATCACGGTGACGTATTGGCAAGAGAGAGAAAAGTGAGAAAAACGGCTGCAAATACCGAAGCTACCGAAGCTTCTTCTACTTTTTAAAGTTTCACTTTTTACAATCAACCGAATTGACTGCCTTGAAGAGAGCTCGTTTCAATCGCGAAAGCGCTCGACCAATAATAACGACTTTACGTAATTCGTAACTTCCCTTCCGTAACTCGAAATAATTCCGTAATTCCGTAAATCTGTAAATTACGTGCAAGCCTATAATTATAAAATAAGTACAGTGGTTCCAGGGGCTCCCTACGAGAGGCACGAAGCAGTTCGAGGGGGGCACAAGACTAATAATATATTATATAACGACTTCGTTTGCATACTTTCCACAGCAGTTTCATTAATTGAATAGGATTATTTGCGATCACAGGGTGTATTCACTTTCTTGAGCGTGAATTGTTTGATCATAATAGAATTTAAAATCTACCAATGAAAATAGTTCGCCGGTAAGCCGTCTGGTCTAACCCTAACCCTAACCCTAACCCTAACCCTAACCTACAACAGAATGGCAGTTCCACTCGACTGCGAGATAACCTTCGCTAGCGTGTTATAGACGCAATTACGAAAATGGAACTACAGTTCCGTTTTGGCTGAACACACGAATAGCTGCGTTCCTGGGCGTTCAAGCACAGACAGATGTACCAACAACAACAGTTCCGTTGACTTTATCAAAGTAAATTGAGATGCCAGAGAATGTGATTAATGCTGGCATTGCTCGTATGTCATGAGCAATAATACACATTACGTCCATCTGAACTCCAAAATACCGCGACAAAAATCAACCCCGGTGAAAGACGTTGACATCGGTTTCTTTGCTGCCAAGCGAGTTAGATTTGACAGGAACGCACATTGACTAAGTTCGGGTTTCTGTCGGAGCAAAAGCCAATTTTTATTATCACAAAAACAAAATTTATAAACCGTCTTGATGTTGACATTGACATTCGTCTAGCTATAAAAAAGACTGCGCCTAACACGAGAAACCTTGTCAGACAGTCCTAAGCGCAAGATTCCATTTGATTGTATACTGGAGAGCGTTTACTTTCTCGTCTGTCGTTTGCATTCCATAATAGGTCGTAAACACATAATACAATCCAACACGTTTTGTTTTTGGAATGGTGAAAACGGAGACCGCGAGTGCAAAAGGACGCTGGAAGAGGGCAACGAGCCATAAGACACCTGGTTTAGACGTATATATTGTGTAATTTTTTGGCTTCAGTGCCAAATTAGGTCGTGTGTGACTGACTGCCTTGGTTCATTTAAAACGTGTTTCCGCTTCGTTTATAAGGTTTTGCTACATTTTGCCGTCCTTCAGTAACGTGCCGCCCCTGGATTTATCCACAAGATCCAATGGGTAGTTACGCCACTGATAAGGGGCAGCATTACCAGATACTCGACCCGTGCTTTCCACTGACTAAATCCAGCTTCTTGTTGCAAAATTGATTGTTGATCTGATTGACGATAGATCAGACAGCAAATGCAATCGTCGGCTTTTTAGAAGGCTAATACATCAGCCAAAAACGTGTTACTTCTTCGCAATTTGTTGATTTCCTCTTGAATCAGTTACTGCTCATTGCACAATTATCTTTAGTCAGAAAAGGCCCATAAATATTCGGAAAATATTTTGAACCAAGCTTGGTGATTTCTGCTCTCATCCCATTTAACAAAATAGGTTTTTCATTACTTTTATCAAACTGCATAAGGCCGACATCGCGTTTTAAAAAAGGGTCCGGCACATCAGCTTCTTTGTTCACCTTCGAAACTTTTTTCAATTTATTTCTGAAATTGGCCAATTTCCTCACTTGCTTGTTTGGGATGGCCAACCTCTCCAGGTTCTTGCTCTGATTGATCATTTTGCACTTTTGAGATCGGATTATCAGCGCTGTTAGCATAAGAACTTCTCTTGAAGAATGGCACAAAGAAATTCTATAATGTTTCAGCTTTCTTTACCTCATGTTTTCTTTTCTTTTTTCCCTGCGGCCCCACTCTCTCCAACTCAAAAGTAAAATAAACATTCATTAAAACAGTTATTATTTAAGAAAGACAACATGATCGGACAATTTCGCCAAAACCCCGATTTGGGCCAGTGAGATTATAAATATATATTGTATTGGAGTATTTGGTTGTATTAAGTTTGCAGATATAGTTGACTAGTGTTAAATAATATCATAGCCTATAATGGACACTCTAAAAATGGAATGTTGAATCATCTGGTGTTGATAACATCTGTTCACAACATCAATCTGTCTGTCTGTGGATTCAAGGAAGGACAATATGCCATATTCAAGATCAAGCGATGCCCCTCCTGAACCCCCGAAACGAAAAAGTCCAACTGAACGTCAAGCAGCATGTACTTCTTCAGCATCCAACTTAACAGAACACAATATATCCAATTTAGTCTCCATACTGGAGAGCACAATTCTAAAGACACTGCGCCTGGAAATACCGGCTATAATTGAACAGCACATTGAAAAATTAGCTCTGTATCTCTCTTCAACCACCCCGACCAGCATTGGAATCCAGGAGTCTCTATCATCTCTGGATGAATCTATAAAACAAATGAAAACTCAGTTATCCTCGATCAATGTCATTAAAGATGAGGTTGGAGAAATAAAGACAAGCCAAGAATTCATTGCCAGAAAGTTTGACGAACTTAATGCCAATTATGACAAACTGAGCACCATCACAGTTAAAAACACCCGAAGAATTCGTCAACTTGAAAGTATAGTGGAAGAACTAGAAGAAGAAATAGATATCCTTACTGAACGCCAATACGACCAGGAGCGTAGGTCAAGGCTGGATAATTTAGAATTTCACAATATACCCTACTCGCGTGATGAAGATTGTGAAAAATTAATTATGAAGGTAGCAGCACGAATAAATGTACCGCTGCAATCATCTGACATATCAAACTGTCACCGGATGTCAAAAGAAAACAACAAAAAGCCTTCACCAATTATTGTTAAATTTGTACGCAGAAAAACAAGGTATCAAATTCTAAAAAATCGTCGCCAACTGAGATCGGCCAATTTTCATGAAGATTTTCAGCATTTTACAAGATCTACTAGAATATTCATCATCGAAAACCTTAATGACAATAACAAGGACTTATTTTTTAAAGCAAGAGATCTTAAAAAAGAATGTGGATATAAATATCTATGGACACATAATGGAAAAGTTTTAATAAAAAAGAACGAAATGACAACTACCATCCCCATCAATAACGAAGATGACCTTTCTCTCATCAAGTAGGTCTATTGATTATAAATATTCATACATTGTATAGTCAAAATAATTTTATGTATTACCCAAACATATATCAAAACTACCGGCCATTTATTTCCAGCCTGGAGAAAATATCTCTTACATTTCATACATGGCTTTAGCAAACGACCCTCAATTAGCTTATTCCTGTGACATTGAAACGTGCAATAATGTAGGAGTTGTTGATTTAAATTCTTCTCAATCATTGTCTGACCTTTGTATTTTCCATGTGAACATTCGATCCCTGCAAAAAAATATTGATAAATTAACAACCCTATTATCTAATTTCTCATCCCCTCCACAAATAATTGCGATAAGCGAATCAAAGTTATCGTGTAACCCTGTTTCCAACACTAATATTGATGGGTATAGCTTTATACACATGCCATCCATCACAAAAGCAGGTGGTGTTGGTGCTTATATTCGAAACGATCTCATCTATAATGTAATTTCAGATTACAATCTCAATCACTCCAACTGTGAAAATATATGGTTTGAAATAAGTTCGGCCAACGCAGTCAATAAGATAATTGTTGGTGTTATATATAGGCATCCTCGTAATAATATTCCAAGCTTTACTAATGCATTTGAAGCATCTCTTGCTAAATTGGCAAAGAAACAGTTTTTGATACTAGGAGATTTTAACATTAACTTACTTACATTGTCAACTAATGCCCAAATTGCAAATTATGCCGATATGTTAATTTCTCACAATGCCAAGTCATTAATCACTAAGCCTACTAGAGTAAGCAGTACATCATCAACACTTATAGATCACATTTATACTAATATTTCAAATTTTAGAATCAAATCTCATGTAGTTCTCTCAGACATAACAGACCATTTTCCTGTTATGTGTTGCCTCAGTGGCATAATACCAGCCCATACAAATTATGTCAAAATAGCAAGGGACATGTCAAAATTCTCGATCGATTGCTTTCGCACAGATAAACAAGTAATTTTTCATAATTATATTGCTAGAAACAATTTGAGTTCCCAAAACTTTGATAGTGTTTTCAGCGAATTTGTAAAATCTTTTGTTCACCTGATTGATCGCCACGCCCCGCTTCGACCACTCTCACGTCGTCAAAAAAGGATACGATCAAAACCATGGCTAACCAAAGGGCTGCTTGCTTCTATTCGCCACAAAAATAAGATGTTTGAATCCCACTTTTTGAAAGGGAACACTTCCGAACGCTCCTATTTCAAAAAGTATAGAAATGTTTTGATTAGAGCCATAGATGATTCAAAACAAACCTATTATCAAAACCTTATTGCTAAAAACAAAGGTAATCCTAGGTCAACATGGCAAACAGTTAACGAAATCACTCATGTAAAAAATAAATCTAATCAAAAAGTTGACGAGATCGATATTGAAAATGGCTCTATAATTAGAGATGAACTTTTGATTTCTACAGAATTTAATAAGTATTTTTCTACAATTGGGTCTAGCCTTTCAGGCAAGTTTTCCACTGAACAGGATAGCTTTAAACAATTTCTTCACAGTTGTATAAACCAGTCCATCTTCATGAGCCCAGCGACTACAAATGAATTGATAATAGAAATACCTAATTTGAAAGACAGGAAGGCAGTTGGTCCAGACAACATACCAGCACGTTTCCTTAAATTAGTTGCTGATCTCATTGCACCATGTTTGGCTGAATTCTTCAATTGTTCACTTTTGTTTGGAATCTTCCCTGCATGTCTCAAAATTGCCCGAGTGATCCCTCTTTTCAAATCTGGCAATAAAAAACGTATGTCAAATTATAGACCAATTTAAATTCTTTCATCAATAAGTAAAATATTTGAGCGTTTGATTCATAAGCGACTCAATGCTTTTTTTACGAAACATGATGTAATAAATAAATCACAGTTTGGCTTCCAAAATAATCTATCTACATCACATGCTATCTTAGACACAATATCATATATCTACGATGAACTAGAGAGGAAGGAGTTTGTCAGTGCAACATTCCTAGATCTAAGGAAGGCCTTCGATACCGTAAATCATAACATCCTGATTTACAAGTTGAGACATTTCGGTATCAGGGGTACAGCAAACAAACTCATTTCTAGTTATTTAAGTAATAGATCACAATATGTTCAAGTTGGGTCGTGTTGTTCCTCTCCCTTACCAGTGACTCACGGAGTTCCTCAAGGTAGTTGCTTGGGTCCTCTTCTATTTCTAGTCTATGTAAATGACATAACTTGTTGTTCCTCCTTCTTTACCAAATTGTTTGCTGATGATACCAATCTTCTCGACAGCGACAAATCTTTTGCAGTTCTTCAGTTGAGAGTAAATTCTGAAATTGCGAAAGTATCAAATTGGATGCGGTCTAATAAACTAACACTGAACATTGACAAATCAAAAACTATGTTAATATCTCCACACCAGTGCAAATCTAAAAATGAAACAGTAATACAAATTGATGACAAGAACTTGAAAATGTCCATTCTTATAAATATCTTGACATATATTTAGATAGTAAAATGAAATGGGATGTTCACTTATCCAAATTATCCGTTAAATTATCTAAATCGGTTGGAATACTTTACAAGCTTAGACGATTTACATCACCAACAACACTCAGGATGGTGTACTACTCCTTATTCCAGAGCCATATCCAATACGCCATAATTGCTTGGGGTTCAGCTGTTAAAACACTATTACATCGCATTGAAATTATGCAGAACCGAGCAATCCGTGCAATATCTGCCGCTAGTTATTTTTCACGACTCAGTCCTATTTATTATAACCTTCAAATTATTAAATTGGCAGACATTTACAACATAGAAGTTTTGGAATTGATGCACCAACACCACTGCAAAAAACTCCCTCCTGCGTTCACAAACTATTTTTCAAAACAAAGCAATGTTCACTCATATGGAACACGGTTCTCTATTAGCAGTTCTTATTATGTAAATCGTTTTAGCACCAAACTCACCCAAAACTCAATCAAGTTTGTTGGTGTTAAATTGTGGAATAATCTCCCCAATAGCATTAGGACCAGTACTTATAACTTGTACCTATCCTTGTGGTGCTGCTTTTCCCATCCATGTTCGTCAAGTTGTGTGCTCGCTGTGTACTGTTCTTGTTTTAATATTTTCCGCCCAACCTATATGCCACGAATACTGCAGAACCCATAATTATTCTGCACTACTCTAATAGCCACTAACAATCGCTTTCAACATAAAAATCCGTTAAATACGGTATCGATTCTCGCAGCCAAAAGCCCGTTGCTGGGCACGCCATATTGGTTTACTGTGTATACTTAGTCAGCATTATATCACAATTCTTTGTTGTTATTGGACACGTAGTGGACATAACGATCGTTTCAATATTATGTTGTTGTTGTTCTTGTTCTTGTTGTTCTTGTTCTTGTTCTTTGACACGTTTTTAAAAAGTCGCTTTTCTCTTCGAATACTGGACCAATTGCTTTGAAATTTTCAGGGGTTGAAGATTAATTTTTTCGCTAGAAGGCTATTACTTTTGTTTATTCTTAAATTTTATATGAATCCTATGAGATATGATATTTCATACAAAATTTCGCGGTATTTATTTTTACTCATGGGAACACTGTTTTACACTTATTTCAAGCGGTTTCGCGATCGATTGTCTTGCTCAGTACTACAGCTACCTTAGGTCGGTACTGGTAAGTTGCCATACCGGTGCCGTAACGCAGTGAAATTGACTTATTCCTTCCGCGGTATTACTAATGCTGCAATGCAAGTTTTATAGCCTATCGTATGCGGAACGGAATATCAGACCTACAGGTTCGGTACCGGTACTGGTAGCTCAGTACGTAAGTACGATACTGGTACTGGTGCCGGTACCGGTGTCTTACCACAATGAAATTACCGTAACTTATTCTTTCACGGTCCTACCAGTGCAGTAATGCAAGCGTTGTAGCACTTGTAGCCTACTATATTTGTTTATTTTGATGAGAGTCTACTGGAAACAACATAAAATTTGAAAGGGAAGAATTGTTCTGTGATCAATTATCTGTCCTAAAGTGTAAACAACATAAAATTTGCAAGGGAACAACTGTTCTGTGATCAATTACCGTATATGGCCTACAGTGTACAGGTAAGATGCTGCCTGACTGCTAACTCAGTACCGCTTGACACGTTTTTAAAAAGTCGCTTTTCTCTTCGAATACTGGACCAATTGCTTTGAAATTTTTAGTGGTTAAAGATAAAAATTTTCTTCAGAAGGCTATTACTTCTTTTTTCGCTATGACGTCATCAAAATTATGTGACTCTACGTGTCCATATATTTGAGCATAGCTCTCTCTTGTTGAGGCATATCCTTCTTACAGATGTCGCTGTTGAGTCATATAATACGATGTAATCATTGTAGTATCTCAGTGTTTATTTCGATTTTATTTTGTTCTTACTCTGTATGATCGAGTTTAATTAGGCAAATATCTAATACTCCATAGTTATTATGACATCCTGTATTTTATTTTATTTCTCAAACTTTGTTGTTCCTTTTTGTGATTGAGTCTAATTAAGTGAATGTTTAGGTAAATTTTCGTGGTCATTGTGGCATTCTTTTTGTTGTCCATTTTATATATATGATTGTGTCGAATTTAGTGACTATTTAATATTGAGTTGTTCGGTTGCTATATTTGCTGCTTCAATGCAGCTACAAGGTGTCGCTGACTGGATGACTCTTTGAGTCTTTCGCGATCCCTCGTCTATTGCAACAAGCCGATATCCGTCTTCGTAATTTGTTATATGTCTTTTTTTATTTTTTCATATCGTATATTGGTTTTGCATGACGAAAATAAAATCTGAATCTTCCTGTGTATTCGATCAATCAACTTTAGCGAATCGTTGCAAAGTATTTCCGTCCAGTGATATGCTCACAAATATTCTCGACATTAATATTATACCCTCGCATATCAATGTGAAATAGTTGCATTTGATTTTTGACCTGGTCTGAGTTCGATTTATCGTGAACGACTAAAAATACCGCAAAATTCCGGGAGATGCAACGTGCTTTTAATATTCGTGGTTACAATAAAATGGCTGTTAATTCGATTTATGTATTTTGTGAATTTGGTGATTTCGCAAATCTGTGAGATGCTGCTAAAAGTTTCTTCTAATTCAAAAAATAATCGCCTAAGTTTACATCCCATTACTAAACAATGCCGTATCGGGTATCAGAACTTTGTGGATGGCTTCAATAAATTCACTAAGAATGAAACAAAAACCCGTCAAACTTGCACTAGCAAATCGTGCACTTTGGTCACAATTCAGCGATGTCATTGATAGTCACATGACCACTCTTGTTCAAAAAAACACACCATGTCTACAAAGAAACGCACTATTCCAACATCAGGTCGACGCCAACGAGCGTTTTTGCGGGGAGAGGCGGAATCGGCGTGCTTGTATAATAATCATATTATGAACAAGAATTTTACGGTTATTGCAAAAGCTTTATCTTCCATATCTGCACCACATAGATTAGAATTCCAGCAAATATCGTTATGCAATGCAAATTTGGGTTCAAAATTACTAGTATGCAACTTATTTGTCAACTTCATACTCGCACGAAAATGTTTGTCAACTTTGAATTTTTGCCCTTCAAAATCGAACAAAGTGCGACTTCGGAGTTCCTAAAAAAATGCAAAGTGCTCCGCACTTTCAGCTAATAGTGAACCCCGTCAGCACGTCAATGAAAATACAGAACTTGTGAGTGTAATACCGATATTTATTAATTTTGATGTAAAATTATTGTTTGGGCCATGTTTGACAAGATGTTATTGTACGTTCCTCACATACAATTTTTATTTTTGAGTTTAATACCGATGTTTTTCATTTTGATGTAAAATTCTTGTTTGGGCCATTTTTTGACAAGATATTATTGTAGGCTACATTTCCCACATACAATTTTTATGAAACTTGGTTCAAGATGACTTCAAGATATGTTCTTTTGGGATAACACACTTAAATGTGGGGCACGTATTGGGAAACTACCGACTTTTTGGATGGAATGCCGTTAGTTATGAATAGCGAAGGAAAATGATTGTTTGTTTGGATTTTATGGTATTTTTCCAACATACAAATTTCATAAAACTTGGGTTGAAATGATTTCAATATATGTTCTTGTTTTATATTACTTTTAAAAATGTGGCCGGCCATTGGAAAGTACGGAAATTTTTTTTTGGGGGGGGGGGGGGGGGTTACTTACTACTTGCAGAAAAAATTACGCATAAATCTTCCAACCGCGTTTTGACAAGCTTTCCTTTTTTCCTCGTATCGCTCATGCGCCATGTTAAACCATTGAGCAATGGTTAATCATTTTCTGGCAACTCTCGTTTGCGTCATTTGCCGTCCCGAAAACGCGAGGAATGTCCGCTCGGGTACCGTAACTTTGGTCCTATTTCGCTTGTCTACTCTGGGGACCGGTATTGTTAAGTTTGTAGGTAAAGATTAGGTATCGAACCTACATTATAATACATTATAATCGCTTGTCTACTCTGGGGACCGGTATTGTTAAGTTTGTAGGTAAAGATTAGGTATCGAACCTACATTATAATATTTTCTAGACTCGAGCTGCAAGGGCAGACCCGGGATAAATACCTATGTAAATCCTATCATTTATGTTAATAATGGAATACGGGTAAAGTGGTTGATAGGCCTAGTCTTACGTTACAGACCTGATGATATTTATGTTAATAGGCTACGGTATGTCAACAGACAGATGGACCCAATCAAATAAAGAAATACCAGAATACACTGTGTCAATATTCAAATATTTTTTAAATGGATGCTTTTGCTCAACGATCAGAGAGTCAGGAGAGGATTACGTTAACCTTAAGTTAAATTATCAACATTGAATGCTGGAATGTGAAGTGCAGAAGTGTGTGAAAACTGAAAAATATTACTCTACTTTGTACTTGGTGACTGGTGTAGGAACTATCACTCAGACTCCTGGACTCTGGACTTTGTCAGTAATGATCAATAATCTATCAAGTTTTATTGATTTCACTGTAGTACCTACTGTAAAGCATTTGTTTAACTTATTGAATTATCGATTTTGCTCTTCTTTTAAAAAAACAAGTATTACTGTGTTAAGATAAAAGTAGATGAAAGATGTTCCAGAAAATTTCAATTTGTATTTCTAATGTGAACTGTTTTTTTTACTCAAATCGATTAATTCCCAGCAAAATCTGCGCCATTACAGCATTACTTGCCTATTAAATTTGAGAGAAATGGCTCGCTGTCCACCTGATTGCAAAGTTTATGTTGGAAATCTTGGACAAAACGGTTCAAGAGATGAATTGGAACGAGAGTTCGGTCGTTACGGAAAATTAAGAAATGTGTGGGTTGCTCGAAATCCTCCAGGGTTTGCTTTTGTTGAATTTGAAAACCCACGAGATGCGTCAGATTCTGTGAAATCATTGGATGGAAGGTTTGTTATAAATATTGATCATTCTAGTGTGAATGTATGAAAAGTAATAATTTTGTTCCAGAAACGAGTTGAAATTTGAAATACTTGGAATTCTGAAATGTGACTTCATACTGATATAAACTGGTGCAAAAATAACTATGCTTAGACCACCTCTTGTTTCAGAACTAGGGATGTGGTAAGTTTCAGGATTTTGAAGCGATTCAAATCAAAGTCAGTTTGAAGCAATTTTAAAAAAAGATATTAATTATGTTTATAAAAAAGTGTTAATCCAGATAATATATGCAGGGATGGCAATGTAGAATAATTTACTATTCTAGAATACTTGAATCGAATGCCTAATCCTATTCTATTTTTATTGTTATTCAAATCTGAGAATTCTCCCACCACATTGCTGGATTAAAATTTAGGCAAATTGTAAATGTATTACTGTCTTTGTATTTAATTGAAAATCCCGAGCGTTGGATTTTATTTGATACCAAAAGGCATTGCTCAGGACAATGAAATTTAAATATTTTAACAATAATTTTTTTTGCCTTGAACTGTTTAAAATTCATGTGATTTCTAAATATGCTATATTAGAACTCGCGTTATACACTTTAATAGTAAACCGGTGTGATATAAAAAATAGATATAACACAGCATTAAATAATTGTTAATGTGATAGTGCCGAGTGTATTATGAAATACCAGCTGCGAATTAGGTAAATTATTAAATTTAACCCTTATCAATTATAAACAACTATGGAGCAGGTGTTTGTTCTGCAAGATCAAAATTCTTAAAATCAAGTCATCGTTATCTTGATTTTGTACTTAGTAACATCAAAAGATTCATATTCTCTTATGAAATATTGATTTTCCTGTTTACCGTACACCCGGTTTGTATGAGCAGTAATACATGTGTCATAATTTTGTCTCACGCCTGAGGTATTGATAAATTTGATTATCCAAGAAAAGTATTTTTATCTTCGAAGTTTGTTTCATTTTTTAGTTCATTATTATTAACAAATGATGCTGTAATTCTTTCAAAGTAAAAACTGGTACATTAATTCAAAATAGAATAGGGACGTTCTGATTCGAAAATAAAATATTAGAAACTTACATCCGTATTCAGAACGATATGTGGTGAACGTGCAAGAGTGGAAATTGCAAAGGGACAACAAGGTGGTGGCCGAGGACGAGGTGGTCGTGGAAGATTTGGAGGCAGGGGAGGATTTGGTGGAGGGGGTGGAAGAGATGGTTATCGAGATGGTGGACATCGGGGACACAATGACTACAATACATCTTATAGAAGAAGGTCAGTATCACTTGCTGTCTTTATGGTACAGGATTTGTTTCTGAATGTATTCAAGATTTTTAAGAAATTCAATTCTTTAAAATGTTACATTTTTTATTTTCAATGGTAATTTTGAATCTTATTTTGTGTTCATAATCTGACTAATTGGATAGGCAAATGTTCTACGTTTATTTAGTATTTTTATATATATTTCTGAATAATGCCCAGATATTAATATTTTAATCTAAAACATTGTGTCCACGTTTCACCAGGGTTTGCTACGTCAGCATCAAATACTTCTTCACATAATACAAAGTTTACTTTGCTACTACGACCCAAGGCCCTTCCAATGGCCGTTTCATTGCACTTCGCTTCGAGTCAAAGAGCTTCTGCCCAGTTACTACAACCTTCCCAATACTTGGATGGCTCTATGAAAGCGTCCTGCGTTTCAGTACAACACCAGTTAACCAACCACATTCATATCACCAACGGCTGAGATTAGATAATGCATCTTATCAAGAATATACCTGCAATAATTTCTGAAAAAGCTACTGCTTCTTCTATCAAGTCAATGTTTCACTACAATAACGTCACACAAAATAGTCTTCCGAGCATCCCACATTGAAAAGGTGGTAGTCTGCATTTTAAATTTGTTAATCTCCTCTTGGAAACACACACTTCAGTTTGCAATTTACAGAGATTGGTGAGGAAATAGATTATATAGCTTAATAAAATTTATTTTATGGTTTTTAAAAGTTTTAAATGGGTGTTAATAACATACATTTCAATCATACTCTTGTTGAATAGTTTATTGCTCTTACATCAGGTCAAGGAGTCCGAGAAGATATTCAAGGAGCAGAAGTCGCAGTAGAGATAATGATGATAATCACAGGTAACAATAGTCTATTTTTCTCAACCATGCTTTGTTTCTTTACCCAAAATATAAAAGACTTAACTTGTCTATAATGCTGAACATGAGTCATAGATGTGGGAGGCATTCTTACAGGAAACTGATAAATATACAAAAACATTATATAAAACTTAAAATTTCAACCCACTTGTTATGTACTGGACGATAGCAAGTATTTTTATTTCATAAATTGTAATCGTGGTATTCGTCTATGTTTATTTAGATCTAAGGATGGTAGTGCATCCCCAAGGAGTCGCAGCAGTACACCAAAGCAGTACCGAAATAAGAATAGCAGGTATTTTTTAAATGTTATGGTTGATTCATGGGTGTCTGTAACTAATCAAATAGATTTGAAATTAGTTATGTTTCATTGAACTATTAATCATAAGAATCGTTTAGGGTATTTTTGCTTGTAAAATTGTCATTCGCGAACTTTTGATATTAGACAGCATGATATCAGTAGCTGGCCTTGATAGTAGCAAAAACTAGATTGATATCTTTCATATAGAAAGTTTATATGCATTTTCCTATAATTCATAAGCTATCAACATTTTTTAATGCTTAACAATGTTGCAATCTTAAAAATAGGGATTCTAGATCGCCATCTCCTGTCAACAACAGGGACAAGTCGGTAAGCCCAGAACCAAGGAAGCGAAGGAGTAGCAGTAGATCATCAGACCGTGACTAAAAGTTACTTTTGTTCCAGTAGTTGGTGCACAAAAACTTTGAGAAATTTGAACATTTTTGAAGATGGAATTTCTGAAATTTTTAAGATGTCCATGTGAATTTTAATTGTTTTGTATCTATGGATATTGTTAGTATTTTATTCTGATACTTGTCCATTTTGTCCCTAGCTTAGCTTAATTTCTGGATTTTTAAATGATCTTTTACCATAAAATGACTGTTTTCATTCTGTTTTTATTTCTCCGGCAATGATTTCGACTAGCCAGTATATGTATGATGTCAGCAGATGGAAACAACAGGACGAGATTTTGACACTGCCAAGATATAAAATACTACAATATCATCTGTATCTTGGAAATAAAAATACACATTCTAAATTGTCAGTGTGTTGAATTTTTGCTCGTCAGGTGATCAGTGAACTTGCACGCCACTGCCACCCACAAATTTACATGCTGTATATTACGATGATTGGCGTTTTTATTTCTTACCGTTAATTTGATTCTGTTCTACAGAAGTGCAACAAAACGTGTTAAGAGTCTTGGTGTATTAATATCAATACAAATCTTGAAGATAAAAAAAATCACGTTAGCAGTAATGTTGTTGCTTCGATTAGGCCATTTACCGTGGTTATTTTGCAGTGGCTTGTGTACATGTCGGGACTGGCCGATCTTACCTAAACTATCGTACGATACCAAGACCATTCAGGATAATGCAGTGGCGAGCGTTTTGGACGCTTGAGTGAGAGGATGTCGATGCGGGATATCTATAATTACTGGTAAATTAGAGCGGCGGGTGGCGCATGTGCTAAGCGTTAGGAATACGCTCGCCTCCGCACCTCTGATTAACCTGGGTGGTTCCGAATCCTGTGGGAGATAATTATGTGCGAAAGGCTTGCTGGGGAAATGGTACGTCACATTATTAAAACGACTCATCGTCTAACCGCTTCTCCGGGGTAAAAATATGATATCTAACTATACAGAAGTGTTTGGTAATCAATTTTTCTCGCTCTTGCGAAAAGTTGTTATCGCCCTCGAGTGTGTGTGAATACGAAGAAAAGAGGAAAACGTAAAAAGCAATCGACTGCTTGCTCGCTTTGGCTATTCTGTTATTACAGCTTTCGTGGGGTTAAGTGCTCGTCGACGTATCTCATTGCCAAGGTAATAAAAATTTTCATGATATCAAACTTTTGGAAGAGTGTCAGTTACAGATATGTCGCGCCCTTTGGAGTGTAAAGTTTACGTTGGCAACCTGGGATCTCAGGGTTCTAAAAGTGAGCTTGAGCGAGTTTTTGGTTTCTATGGACCATTGACAAACGTCTGGGTTGCTCGAAAACCTCCTGGTTTTGCATTTGTTGAATTCGAAACGGAAAAAGATGCACGTGATGCTGTGAAAGCGCTTGATGGAAGGTCAGTTATTTCTTATAGACAGAATTTTGGTACTGTAACTTGTCTGGGTTATACAGTTATACCTTTCATGATGCTTTTCGACTCGGAACAAGGCACCATATAAACCCTGTACGGTACTGTAAAAATCTGTATAGAAAGCCATATGGGCCTATCTGTATACGGTACCTATACCGTACTGTATGCTGGCATGTAATAATATTTATTGTTATATTAAATTTGCTGTATACTAATAAAAAAAAGTTTCTTTAAAAGGGTTTCTGTGTGCTGTTATGACATTGATTTACCATTTTTTCTTTTTTTAATGAGATAAGTATAAATTTATTTCATAATCAGCATAACAATAAAATGATTGGTAAAAATAAATAAATAAAAACTGATTATCGTATAATCAACTTCATCCTTATAGCTATAAAAATTAACTATTTTACGATTTTTGAACCATAATCATTCTAAAATTTTAGACACCAATAATATATCAGAATTTCAAACAATTTTCTTCACATAGCTTTTGCTATCTTCTGTTTTATACAGGACTGTATGTGGTGTGAGAGCTCGTGTTGAGTTATCCAGTGGAATGTCCAGAAGGGGAGGACATAATGGTGGCGGAGGGGGTGGAGGAGGTTATCGTGGTAGTCATGGTGGAAGGGATGATTATTATGACCGGAGAAGAAGGTACATATGACTAAAGATTGTAATTTTTGGAATTATTTAACAATAACTTTTTGTATTGTATTGTTGTATAATGCATCCGTTCAATGGATTTATTTTAACAATAAGAGGGTGACAGTGGTGACCTAAGAATTATGATCTTCACCTATTACCTCAATAGTAAGGTCTATAGCAAGTACGGTAGTTAACTAAGATATTGCTTCCACAATATGATATATTTGTGTATGTTATCTCGTTTATGACACAATTGCAGGAACAAAAGATTATGTTTGAATTTCCAAAAAAATAATACTGATTAGATATGAAATTAGGATTTTTTTCAAGGTATTCATTGACTTTAAATTGGCAGTATTGAAAAATCGTGACAATTTCTAAAACCATATGTCTAATCCTCAGGGTTGACCACTTCAACAGCCACCAACTCAACCAACCCAGCTGCCACTGCTACTACATTACATCTCTAAGTTAAAAGCCGTAGGCAGCATGTCTGCCCATCACATCGCTAGACCACCACTCACCAATGAACAACGTGGCACAGCATCCCTCATTCATCACTAGAAAATGTTTTCTGTGATCATCTACACCAGCGCTAAATTGTTGTCACGTACCACCGACAACTCTAGTAGTTTTCTACTCATCACATCGCGGGAAAACCCATCTCTAAAACACCAAATCAATCAACTTATCAAGTGATATCAACTCTTCTGCCATAACTGTGAATATATAAAGTATAAAACTGGTGTTTATTTTGTCCATATGGGTGTCAATTAAAAAGTTTCGACTAATAATTTATATAACTCTATTATCACAAAGTATGAGTAAACATCGTTTTTGGTTTCTGTAAAATTGTTCTCATTAACCATAATCACAGTTATAGGTCCAGGTCCAGATCAAGAAGTCCACATAGAAGATATTCACGAAGTCGCAGCCGAAGCAGAGATCGTACCAGGAGAAGTAGAAGGTATTATTTCTCTTCTGGTTTGTTGGTGTGCATTTTTGCTTGCTCATGTGAATAACCTTATATATTTAGAAGTCGTTCAAGATCAAGTGAAACTAGAGACGAAGCCCAGAGGAACGCAGGTATAGTGAAAACATATTTGTGTGCGCTATTGATCAATGTGATGGTTAATATACCTTGACATTACTCTATTGGTTTAGTGCACTGTTTGGACCAGCATTAAATAGAGCTGAAAATCTTGATATTCTCTATTGATTTTTCTCCTAATTTCTCTGTAACATGAAATTTGAAAATAACTCGTGAAAAAATAAAGATTATATGTATCACAAATAAGTCAAGCGTTCACTAAGTCAAAAGTCTTATATTTTTCAACCGGATTATAATTTCCTAATTTTTCTTATAACTTTTATACTTACTCCTGGAGTTATTCCGAGTCAAGTGTACGAAACAGAAATTTCAGGAATTCACACTTCTGGAGCATCCGGTGATAACATTGTTGCCGAAACTCTTGAATAATGTAAATAAAAAATTCTCGAATCATTCGTTAAATACTACTATTATTTTAGCCGCAGTCGGTCACCATCTCCCAAAGCTGAACATTCCAGATCACCTAGTCCTGGAAACAGAAGAAGAAGTTGTAGCAAAAGTAGAAGCAGATCATATGATTGAAAGAATGAATTTTCCTTTTTCAACTTTGTTACAAATGTGTACAAACCTTGCTCCTAGCATTAGTTTTTCAAAGTTTTTTCTAGTCTGAGCTCTGTCAGTATGAACCATGATCGGACATATGCTTGGCAAATAATAATCACTGACGGTGTTGCTTACTTTGACAGAACTATCACATACTTTTACCTGGCACACCACAATCCTTCAGTTCACTCCATTGTTTGATATGGCAAAGTAAACTACCTTCTCTGTAAGATTTGTGCTGTTGAAAACTAGATTTCGCAATTCTCTATTTCTGACCTGGATGTAAGCTTGTTTTTAAAAGAAAAGTTTGAACGTGTGCTGCTTTGCTCACTTGTGTCTGAATGTGATTTAATATTTCAGCAAATTTAATTGCTTTTTAACTTTCATGCAATGAATCTGGTTTTATCATAGGGACTAGTTTAATTCGTAACTTTGGTTGTGGCAGACCAAACTTTTCTTATTTTTGTGGGGTCCATATTATGTCACCGTATTTGGCATTTACTGGCGGATAAAATTTGATGATTAGAAGATTCGATGGCTAGGCAGGCCTTGTTATGATAGTACTTAACGGTAAATATCCCTTAGTGGACATAGCATCGTCGTATGGGACGGTGTGTGGACGCATTTTGGACTGAATTGCATTGGGGACAGAGGCTAAATTTACCGCCAGAAGGCAAAACAGGCTGACGGCTTGGGACCTGAATGTTCATATTTACTATATTCACTTTCCAGTCGTTTTTAATTCGCAAAAAGTTGTTCCCAGTAAAAAAAAAGGTTTAGATCGAAGGTGCCGCGGGCACCTGTCGTCCGTAATGACCACATGGGTAGATCGCAGGCCTGTCCTTGAATTAGCTCAAATAACAGCGTTTATCAGTAAGCTGCATCTATTGAGTTTGTTCTTGTTTTAATCACATATTAAGGTATGTAATGATCAACCTTCTCCGTGTTAAACTGTGGTAATTCCGGGGTCATTTAATACTTTTCAATTGTGACATCTCGCACACTGGGTCAGTTTGAGCAATGCGCGCCATTCATTCATAGACCTTTCACACATATTGCATTGCTGGACAACGTTCAGCCTTTATGCTTGGAGCATGAAATTGTAACACTGCAAAATGACATCCACCTTAAGGCTTACCAGCGTGTGCCACGCTGTTGGGCCTGGTTTACACATGAAAGTACAATCGCTTATGAACAGCAGCTTTGACGGCCGCAAGCTTGTTTGGTCCCCGTATGTTTGTGAATCAGCCTTTTCTGGCATGAACGTCATCAAGAACAAACACAGAACACTGATGAACAGCTGTAAGATCATCTCATATTTGCAGTGTCAAGTTGCACACCAGAATACAATATACTGGTGGGAAGCATGCAATGCCTAGGTTACCGATTGAAAATAAGGTATATATTCAAGTTTGTAAAATGTAACATTTAATAGCACAACTGATCTAATAACTAAATCTAACTAAAAAATCTAACTAAACCCATTTCGTGTTAGGTTTGTTAAAAACGTAGATATTATGTGATTTCCAGGCTGTTATAGAAACGAACAATTCGGAAAAACACTAAATTTTGAAAAACTTCCTAAAAATATGAAATTTCGGGTTTGCTTCGAGTTCGGGCCTGCAAATCCAGTTAATTAGTCGGGCTTGGCCTGTGATTTAATATCCACGGGCCTAGGTAGGGCCGGGCTGGAATTTGTGGGCCCGATCTTACCTTTAGTTGAGAGACGAAAAACTTAAAATGCTTGCTTGCGACTGTCGACGACTACCACAAGTGTTGATATATATAGCAAGATCGATCAATGAATAATAATTATGAAATGTGTTCGTACAATAAAAAGATTTTGTTTTATATTGTGCTGTTTGTACCGAGAACTGTCTATTCTTGTCATTGTGTGACCCGCGAACAATACAAAAATAATATTGAGGCCCCAGGTGCCGACAACCTGGCAGCACCCTGAACTAGAGATGTACCGATACCGATACAAATTCAAAATGCCGATACCGATACGCCGATATTCCAAAATAGCCAATACATATTCCGATATATATTATGTAATTATTACCTCAGTGTGTAGGGCAGGCGGGTTACAGCAATAGTCTTTGAGCATTATTCATAGTGCACATTATTTCAGATTGAAAAAGAAATATATATGTCAAATAAAAAGGAAATTAATGTTTGGGATCCAAATGCGTTATTTGATTCAGATGCGTTGTGTAGCCTACTTACGCCAGTAATCTCGGTGCTCAATTATAAAACTCCCAGGGTTTGACTACTGTGGGTGCTAAAGTTAATGAATGTTTACTTATCTTTTCAAACTGATTCATTGAGTTACGTGCGCAGGATTTTGTGCCCAATATAAAACTTAACGACACATTTTGTATTTAACACATTGGATAATCCTCTGATGCGATAATATATATTTATTCATAATTACCAGGTAATATTATAAATGTCAATATATATATATAAAGATTTTGCAGCGAAAATAGTTGACTGATAAATAGCTAATAACTGGTCAGAATCATATTCCCGTTTCTCCTGGCGGGGTGGGGACGTGCATGGCTCATAGTTTACAATCTATCCAATGAAAAAAACAATTCCATCTTTTCGACTATATTGGCTCTGATGACAACGCACTAAATACGAGTCCATCGGGCGGGGGACTTGATCAAGAGAAAAATGAAATGTGGAGTGAACGGAAATACAGGATAAAACTAACATCGTTCAGAAACTTCTTATGCCTGCTCAGAAGCAGGTAGGCTGATTAATATATGTAACAGCATTATTTGTGGTATCTTTTATGCCTTTGTGCCCAGCGAGAATTCGGCCAAGATTAATCCGTCATTTGACGACTGTTGCTCAATTTGTGTCATACCTGGCCTAACATATGTGTTGGCATCGAAATTAGAATTTGCGTTACAGGAATCCGAAATTACATTTTACTCTCTGTTTTTCGCCCGCTAGGCTCGATGGCGATTACCCCGTCTGCTACTTCTAATGCTTTTAATACGTGATCAAGCTGGAAATCTTGAGTATTCTGATCTAAATAAGACCCACGGCACTAAAACAAACTGTGAAACCCTGCTGCGTTAGCACCCTAAGTCACTTCCATTTTTTAGCTTTCCACCCAACTAGTCCATTATCACTCACGTGTTGACGTGCTTTGCTCACTTCCCAATATTCCTCGCTCATTCTGACATTGCTCACAAAGTGTCAACATTTCTATTCTTTGTAACAAAAGGCCTATAGCAGAACATGGAGAAAGAACATAAATTTTACTGCTTTCTAGAATTTTGAATAAATGTATACATAGATGCAAAGCAATTCCGCTGAATCAATTGGTATTGTTGCATGTTATGCCTAATCCTATTTAAACCAGAACACACTCGCAGTTTCAACACCAGCCAGATTTTATCATTTTTCTACTTTGTGTAACAGCCGTTCTTTGTGACCTGGACGACACCGACTGCACACTAGATATTTATTAACAGTTCAATAACGCGGTCTTTCAAGCCCCAAGTTTGTATCCTCAATCCAGAAAATCACACAACTCGAAGTATACAGTTGACACGGTTATCTTAATACAAACGTAAAAACAAATCAATACAAAATACTTGCAATAAATAAATAATCATACACAATTCGGCCTTTAGAAAGCCTACTCAAATTTATGAACATAATTATCAAACATAGTTAATTATTAAGTCGAACCAAATTACTATTGAATAACTTGCAGTCTTCAAATCAGAAAGAGTTACAAATTATAACATACCGAATTTGTCTGCTATTCCAGGCTTAAATTATCATAAGTTGAACATGAAATCATTCGTCAATGAAATCCGAACAAATCAATTAAATAAACTATAACTGTAAAATCAATCACAAAAGGCCATTTAATGCTCATAAAATATCCCTAAATAGGCCTATGTGGGCAGCCATAATCTACATTATTTAATCGTCCTACAGTCAAAACAGAAAGCCAAGGTCGCTGAACAAGTTTAACTTATTTACAAATTACAACGAAACGAGCGCCATTCTCTGCAAAAGTAAAGCGCTATCTAAAGCAAATTACCGAAACTATCCATGTCTAAGCGAGACATGTCTGGGCAAGCAATTGCCACGAAGACTCTCTCAATTGTTTCGTAACAAAGTGTGTAGAAGCACACTGTCAATCAAGGGAAATTACGGCGTCAACAATAACAAATAAATTACTACACAAGTTAAACGGACGCAATGTTTAAGTTAAACGGACGCAATGTTTAAGTCAATACAAAAATCAAGTGAATGCGATTCTCGATGTAACATTCCCCCAGCCAGATGTTGGAACCCAGTGAAAACATCTTACTCACAAATTTCTTACATCGAGGATATCACACACTTGAAAACATTTTACTCATTAACTCTATGAATCAAGCACAACTTTGCAATTGGCCTTCTCAATAAACCCCTGGATGTCTTCACAGTAACTTGACGCACAGCTCCAAGTTTATCAGGTGTAGTTTCCATAACACGTCCAGTCTGCCACTTCGCCCTGGGTATAGTATTGTCTACAAGTAGCACAATATCACCAACTTCCATATTACGTTCTTTAGAGGTCCATTTCTGTCGTGTCTGAAGTGTGGGTAAGTATTCTTTGGTCCATCTGATCCAAAACTGATCAGCTAAATACTGAATTTGTCGCCATCTTCGTCGAGTGTAACAGTCCTTTTTGTCGAATATGCCAGGAGGTAAATTACTTGTAGGATTCAGTAACAGCAAGTGATTTGGAGTGAGTGGCTCATCATCTTTCGGATCGAAACTTATTGGAGTGATGGGTCTGGAATTCAACTGTGATTCCACTTCACAAAAAATAGTAGCCAAAGCTTCATCTGACACCAACTGATCGTGTAAGAGAGCAACCAAAATCTTTCGAACTGATCGAATTAATCTTTCGTAACATCCTCCAAAATTAGAAGCAGTAGGTGGATTGAATTGAAATTTAATATTCTCCTGACGCAAAAATTGTCCAACTTTGCTTGAATTCCAAACTTCTATTTCTTTACGTAGGATTTTATTTGCTGCAACGAAGTTACTACCGTTGTCACAGATGAACTTGAATGGTCTACTTCTACGTGCAATAAATCTTCTTAACGCATTTATGAATGAATCTGCATCCATCGAGTATGCAACTTCCAAGTGTACGGCACGAGTTGTCATGCATGTAAATATACAGCCCCACCTCTTGACAGTACTTCGTCCTTGCTTTACAAGAAAATGTCCGAAGTAATCCACTCCAACATAGGTAAATGGTCTTTCACCTGGTGTGACTCTTTCTTTCGGAAGATCTGCCATAATCTGTTTACTCACAGGTGAACTTCTTCTTCGACAAAACATGCATTTTCTGATAACAGATTTCACCATAGCGCCTCCTTTAACGATCCAAAATCGTTGTCTCAGAGAAGTCCATGTACTCCCCATACCAGAATGATGTGTAGATACATGATGTTCTCTTATAATCATCTCAGTTACATGATGTTTATGTGGAAGTATAATCGGATGTTTAACATCGAAATCAACCGGTGCATTTCTCAATCTCCCACCAACTCTGATGAAGCCATCTTTCATAATCGGATTGAGTTTATGCAGAAATTTGCAATCTTCAATCTCTTCAGTACTTGTTTCCCAGATGTACTTCTATGATTGGCTTTCTGCAATGCATCAATAACTTCGCCAAATTCTTGTCTCTGTATGTATTTCAAAATGTCGTCTCCAGCAACTCGCAATTCTTCAACTTCAAGTTTCTCATTGCACTTATATTTCTTCTTCTTATGAAGGTATTCTTTGAATCGAATCATCCATGCACTTGCCTTTTTCAATTTATACCATGTTGAGAAATATGAAATGAATTTATCCATTGGCTTCAAAGCAAACTCAGAAACATAATTCGCAACAACTCGTGGCTTGCATCTTACAAATTCATCAGGAAGCTCAGGTAACTGTACTGGCGGTTTAGGCCAATGTTCCTCTTGCTCTTGGAGAAATGATGGTCCCTTCAGCCATCGTTCATCCATCAACGATTGTACCGACAACCCTCTGGATGCATCGTCTGCCGGATTCAAATCTGTAGGTACATATCTCCACTGCAAAGCATTCGATCCCTCTTCAATCTTTGCAAGTCGATTTGCCACAAATGTTGGAAATCTTCGTGATGTATTATTAATACTCAAAAGCACGGAAGTTGAGTCTGTCCAAAACATCGACTCTATTTCTTCGAAGTCTAATTCACGTCTCAGGAATAAATCTAATTTGACTGCAAGAGCGGCAGCAGTCAACTCCAGCCGTGGTATTGAAACAGTTTTGATGGGTGCAAGTCGAGCTTTTCCTAAAAGAAACGCAACATGAATCTTCCCATCTTCATTGATTAGTCGCAAATACGATACAGTTCCATAGGCAACTGCAGAGCCATCTGCAAAATGGTGTATTTGACGAGTCACAATATTGCCAAAACCAGAAGGCGCAAAACATCTTTGCATGAATATATTCTCAAGTCCAGGAATATCTTCGAGCCATCTGTTCCACAATAAATTTTCACTATTCGATATTTCATCGTCCCATCCATAATTATTTCGACATAACTGCTGCATCAAATCCTTGCTTTAGTATTACAGGTGCCACTATTCCCATCGGGTCAAATATCGAACTGAGTACAGACAAAATCCTCGTTTTGTTGCGGGGTTTTGATTTCACATTAACATCAAATCCAAAACAATCTTCTTGGATATTCCACTTTATTCCGAGTACTCGATCGATCTTTTCAGGTTCTAAATTTACACTTGACGCAGTGTCTGCTCTGTCTTTAGCAGGAATCTCTGACAGAACTTCAGGATTGGAACTTTTCCACTTTGCTAGATGAAATCCTTTTTTCTCCAGCAATTTATTCGTTTCTCGAACAATATGAATTCCCTGGTCTACAGTAGATGAGCCATTCAGGTAATCATCAACATAAAAATTTCGCTCAACTCCTTTGACAACATTTTCGTCAAATTCATCTTGATGATCTTGAGCTGTCTTCTTCAGACTCCAATTAGCACAAAATGGAGATGAGACGCTACCAAATATGTGCCTGACCATAAAATATTCTGATGGATCCTGTGACAAATCACCTCCAGGCCACCACATAAATCGCAATACATTCCAATCCTTCGGGTGCACTTTCACCTGATGGAACATTGCTTCGATGTCAGCCACAATAGCTATTTCGTGTTGTCTAAAGCGGAGAAGTGTTCAAGTAGAGAATTTGCCGAATCCGGGCCTCTCAATAGTTGGTCATTCAAGGAAGTATTCATACAACGTGATGCAGCGTCAAAGACAACGCGTACCTTGCTTGGCTTTTGTTCAGAAAACACAGGGTGATGAGGCAAGTACCAAACTGCACCTTTACGGCCAACTTTATATTTATTCGGGATACGTTTTGCAAATCCAAGACTAATATATTTCTCCATAGTATCACAGTACTTCTTTTTCAAAACAGGATCACTCTTCAATTTTCGTTCAATGTACTTTAAGCGTTTCATCGCAACACTTCGGTTGTCTGGCAAATCAGGACATCCTGGCTTCCATGGCAATGGTAACTGATAATGTCCGTCCACGATCTCAACTGAATCTTCCATCAATTGCAATGCGTATTTGTCTTCCTTAGACGTTGATGGAATAGGCGACAGTGAAGCATCTTTAAAATCACTTTCCCACAAACATTTGATTTGCTGACTCAGCAAGTCTTCCTCTTGCACTTGAACGCAATGAATGTGAACATCACTGTTTCTCTCGTGAGATAAAGCTGGTCCAACCAATGACCATCCTAAAATGGATTTCTTCGCCGAAGGTTCATTGTGTTTCCCTCGTCTCTCATCCATTGTCCAAAACACTTTAGGGACATTTACCCCAATCATCAACATCACATCTTTACACGGCAGAGTAGGAATCTTCAATCCCTTCAAATGTGCATAACTTTGTACATCAAATTGTGCTTCATTAGCTTTAACAGGCAGTCTATCAACAGTTAGCACATGAGATAAATCAACACTTTCTCTACCATCAAGTGATTTTACAGTAAAATCAACCGCATAACCATCTTGTGATGTTGGTACCGCATTCACAGTTGTCAACGAAAACTGAGTTTTCCTGCCTCTCAACTTCAATAGATCAAGAAGTCGCTCATCGCATAAGCAAGCAGTAGAGCCTTCATCTAGAAATGCATACGTTTCTATTTCTCTTCTGTTGGCACAGATCTTGACAGGTACAATATTCAAAAAACATCCTGCTGAGCTTTTTGAAGTCGCATATGCTTCAACTTTTGACTCATGCGTACCAGCAGCATTTTCTGTCTGGGTACATGTCTCTTTTTCTCTTCTGTGCAATAACGTATTATGTTTCAATCTACACCCGTCAACAGTACAAGCAGGTGGTTTACGACAATTTCTCGACATATGACCATATACAAAACAATTATCGCACAATCTTGCCTTTCTAACAATCTTCAAGCGGTCACCGTGTGACTTCTGCAGGAATTTGTAACAGTCAACAAGTTTGTGTGACGTCTTTAAACAGTCAGGACAGACATCTCTTCCCTTTTCAATATGTTTTGCACTGGTAACACTGCTGTCAACAGCTGAATTCACAGCAGTTGAATGAGCGTGAATCTTTCGCCTATTCGATGATTGAAATCGTAAACGATATTGCTGTTCTTGCTCCCTTCGAGCTCTCAAGGCTTTTCCATAAGGCGTATTTGCAGCCGCAGCCTTTTTCTTCATAAATCGAACAAGATCTTTAAATCTCACTTCTCTATCTTGTCCATCTAATTCTGCCACTGATTCTTCCAGTTGTTCTGCAACTTGAGAGGAAGTCGTAATACGATGGACAAAATAGTATCAAAATTATCCAAATCCCCAAAATATTTCAAATGTGTCAAAGTGACTAAACATTCTTCTAACGTTTGAGAAAGACGTAACAAACCTTCGTTATCTCCAGGTTTCAACCATGGTCCTTTAGTCAACTTTTCCGAATATTTTCTAGCCACAAGCATTGGTCGACCGTATGTCTTTCGGAGCAAATCGCATGCCTCTTTATAACCTTCGTCGGGTGGCAACATTGTACAGTGCATAATCAGTTCCCTCGCATCACCTTCGCAGTATTGTACCAAATATGACAACTTTGTACTTGTATCATGTACTCTTCTATCAATATTTAAGTTGAAGTTAGTGATAAACCGGACATATTCAGTCTCTATTCCACTAAAATGCAATAATTCAGGTCGAGGTCTATCAATTCCGTCTTGCAACATAGATGCCATATTGCCCAATAAACTTTCCACATTTGGTGCCGATTGATCATGCGTGTTTCTTTGTGGTGGGATGTGTGGTTCTGTGTACGAAGGTCGGTTCACTGATTCATACTGATTAGGAATATTCACATTCACATCATCTCGCACATTATCAGTAGAAGCAGGTCTTCTAACATTTAGTACAGGATTTTCCATTCTGACTCGAGATTGTGATAACAAATCTGATGCTGGCAATTTAGGTCTCACATCAGGAGGCTTTAATACCGGCACTCCTACTTCATTCACTGGTACTTCTTGGATTTGATTAGGTGAATGTGAACGAGACATATTTTCATATAATGACATACCTTCGTCTCCCTGCGAAGCATTTTCCCATACATCGGCTGCTATACAGGCTGATTCATACGCATGCTGCAATTCCAAACGCTTTGTTCCACTTTGAGCATCTTCTTCAATTTGTCTAGCTCTTATTTCAGCATCGCGTTTCAGCTTTTCAGCCTTCATTCGAGCTTCTCGCTCTTGCTGTGCAGCCTCTTGTTTAAGCTTTTGTGCTTCTTGCTCTAGCCTTTCGGCTTCAAGTTGGGCATCTAATTTCATTTTCTCCGCTGCCATTTTCGCATCATCTTCTCGCTTTTTTGCGGCATCCTTTTCTACTTGCTGCCAAATACTAGCATGAGCAAGTTCTCTGATGGCAATGGCTTCTGTACGTTTAGTACTCGAACTTGAACTGGCACACGAACGACGGGAACTTTTCCCAGAAATTAAAGAACGTGCTTTAGGGCTATGTGTCGATGATTTATGACCATCAGCGTCACTCTTTTTGAACCAATCACGTAAGTGCACATTAAATTCTTGAAACTCGCGCAGTTCACACTGGAAAAATTCGCTGACATTTCTCCGATCTTCTTCAGAACGTAAAGTACTCACATGAATTTCATGAGCATTTGAATACTCGGTGAACCGTTTGTCAATGTCAGCACTTTTCAATTTCAACAAATCTCGATTTTTGTAGTCTGTCATAAGTCTCTCAGCATCTTGATATAATTCCTTCATACGAGCACGTAACTCTTCTAAATTTGATTTCGAAACAAGTTGCGCATCCATAATGTACAATTACAGTGCTCATCAAACATGCAACACAAAAGTTTAAATGTTCAACACTAGGATGATTTCTTCAATGTTGACGATTTACCGAACTCCTGCCGGCATTCGACGATACTTTTGTTATGCAAATCAGATGACTTTATTTGCATAAATTTGATAACTTCATTTGCGGAAATTCGATAACTTTAATGTAACAGCCGTTCTTTGTGACCTGGACGACACCGACTGCACACTAGATATTTATTAACAGTTCAATAACGCGGTCTTTCAAGCCCCAAGTTTGTATCCTCAATCCAGAAAATCACACAACTCGAAGTATACAGTTGACACGGTTATCTTAATACAAACGTAAAAACAAATCAATACAAAATACTTGCAATAAATAAATAATCATACACAATTCGGCCTTTAGAAAGCCTACTCAAATTTATGAACATAATTATCAAACATAGTTAATTATTAAGTCGAACCAAATTACTATTGAATTACTTGCAGTCTTCAAATCAGAAAGAGTTACAAATTATAACATACCGAATTTGTCTGCTATTCCAGGCTTAAATTATCATAAGTTGAACATGAAATCATTCGTCAATGAAATCCGAACAAATCAATTAAATAAACTATAACTGTAAAATCAATCACAAAAGGCCATTTAATGCTCATAAAATATCCCTAAGATAGGCCTATGTGGGTAGCCATAATCTACATTATTTAATCGTCCTACAGTCAAAACAGAAAGCCAAGGTCGCTGAACAAGTTTAACTTATTTACAAATTACAACGAAACGAGCGCCATTCTCTGCAAAAGTAAAGCGCTATCTAAAGCAAATTACCGAAACTATCCATGTCTAAGCGAGACATGTCTGGGCAAGCAATTGCCACGAAGACTCTCTCAATTGTTTCGTAACAAAGTGTGTAGAAGCACACTGTCAATCAAGTGAAATTACGGCGTCAACAATAACAAATAAATTACTACACAAGTTAAACGGACGCAATGTTTAAGTCAATACAAAAATCAAGTGAATGCGATTCTCGATGTAACACTTTGAACACCTCCTCCAGTTACGACACCTACCGTCGGTACGTCCTGCCGAAGGCTGCATTCACAACTTTAAAATTAACCATGCGTACACATATTTTTGCATGCCTGATGGAAATTTAGAAGCGAGCAAGTAGTATGACCCTATATTGTACTGGAAACCTGGGTTTTGCTCGAAAAATCATGGGTTGGGAAGCGCAGCGCGAACACCCTATAGTAGACCCCTGATGACAATGCTTCGCCGTACATCTTATGTTGCTAAATTACTGAGCGAACACAAGGGATAATCGAATTTTCAGAAATGTGATTTAGGGGTAACGACAATAAAAAATATGGAAAGCACTGGTCAAACGTATAAGTCGGCCCTCCCGGATAAACATACAGAGAAAAGGTGGAAAACGCCACGAGAAAAGTGTTGCAATGCGTTGTTTCATCATGTATATATATATATACAAATTATCACACCCATAGACACCTTATTTTTTTTAAAGATTTTTTTGTGTCGAAACTACTTTTTTGAGTTCAGTGTGAAAAATCAGAAATTCTTGTGCCATGAGTATATTGAAATTAACGAGACCTCATAAATCGAAAAGATTCTTTTCATATTGAAAACATAATAGCTGTTGTAGTATTAGTGAAAGCTTGACAAAGTCTGACTCGGAGAACAGGTGGAGACGCTTAATAGAATAGAGGTTGTTATTCTCAAATATGACTTCAGTGGAACTCGTTAAAAGTCATTTTATTATAGTATAGTTAGCGCCATTGGTTACCATTATCATGCTTATGAAAAGAAATTGCTTTACTCATGGTCATGGCGTACGGCTAAAGTAAACTTTATTGTTATCACAACACTGACATATTATTGTAATTTCTTGGAATGACTCTTCATATTGGCGCCTTTTACTAATGTAAGATTTTCAAGCTCTATCTGGTAGATTTATACAAGATTACCATCGTCTTTTGAGCCCATTGGCAAAAATGAAGTCGATAAAATATAGTTATGCAACTTTTCCAACAAAATATTCACCAGTCAAACGAGTACAGAGTTGATGAGTGATGCAGACAAACGGCTATATATATATATATCGTGGCCATGTAATTTCATCATCAAAAGTAATTTTTGAACAGATAAGACATCGCCTATAGGCAAATTAAAAAGGTTTAGAGAGGACCTTTTTGTTTACACCGGTCACTGGTAGTTTACAATAGCTTCAAAGTTGAAATGGGTATTTATAACTAAAACCAAACAATGATAAAACTCAGGTTTGTCATGTTCAGATGTTTTTATCGCAATGATTGCATACGCCATACTTGACAAAATTGCTTGCTTTAGTATTTTAGTCTAAAAGCGTAATTTTTGGTTAAGCCGAAAATTTCATTGAACTCTGTGCGGTCCTGTCTCAAGCCAATCTTTGATAAATTTATCTTTTCTCTCTCCAAGAGGAAGCCAGCATCATATGTTCAACTATCTAGTATTATCAACCTTTCTAGTATTAATCCAGACACTTGAAATGACAAAATTTCCGTCAAAACCTTTTTTGTCGGAGTTTCCATTCAGCACATCGATGTTTCGGATGATTACATTGTTATAGCATGAAATAGCAAACAGACAGCATTGTAATAGGAACTCTAGACTTGACAATGCTGAACTCTTGTTCACATGGGAGTTGATATACATTGTGTCACCCTTCTAGTGGCACTAGAGCGTTGTGAAGAGTGTCGAGCGTATCGTAAGAGAGAGGTGAATGTCGATGAAATGTGGTTCACAGTGTAAATAGTTTATTGGTTTTCCGGGTTGAATTTCTGAAATTTCGAGAATAGGAAAATCTCGATGATTCAATTACGTATATTATGAAAGGCAAATCTTATTTAATTATAATAAAAAGCAGCAGTTTTGTCAGATTTTCTGGGTATGCTGCCAGAAAAAAGACAATAGCCGAGGGGTATCTAAACTATGAGCCGCGAGTTGATTCCATTTGCCACCAAGACTCTAAGTGTGAATAGAATATGACAGGATACGAATAAAGAACCAGCAAATGTGTCTAAACGGTTACAGTTACACTTATGATCGACTTTCTAATTAGGACTAAAAAGGATCATTGCTGCTGATTTGTTCAGTACGCTAATCATTGTATTGGGAACATTAGATGTCATAACCAGATGTCGAACCAGTTACTCTAGTCTAGTAGTAAAAACGACCGACGTTCTTATTTTTTATTGAAAAGCATTATACGGTAATTTGATAGATTGGACAGAAAAGATAGCCCTTCTTAGTATATTGATAAATTACGGAGTATACAGATGGGCTGCATATTAGCAGAGAAAATTTAGAAGTTACAAAATTTATTTTACTATGAAAGCGCTCGGTACAAAACAAAGTATTTTTCTCATTTTCTGTCGCCTCATAGAAAAGCTAGAAATTGTTCATGATTAACTGTTGAGATGCAAAGATTTGTTATAATAAAGAAGTTTGGTCCTTTGTGGTCCACCAAAACAACAGGACAGTCAACACGCACATTTTTTTCTGTATGTACCGAGTTGAACAATTGAATAATGGCTTACTTCGGATATATAACGATTTATCCTGGACAAAACGAATATATTTTCAACAAATTTGGTATTTCAGTCGATTTTAAGTCAAATAAATCTTTTGAACAATAGCTCGGTCAACAGAAGTTAGCGAACCGAAGGGAACGATTGTCTGAACGAAGAAATAACCGAATATACTTTTAGCTTATAAGAAATAATGTGAAACTAGTTCAAGTAATTTTGTGTTGCTAAACTCCCCCGAGCCATTATTATATATTAAATGCTGTTTATAATTAATATTGTAATAAATCGAATTAAATTTCAACGCCATATAATTTCAATAATTTTGAATTTATTACAAGTAATATTGTCATTAAATTATAGCCCAGAACCAACGATTAACAATATTTGTTGAATAATTTGGTATTTAATTGTCTCAAATAGATATCTCGTGTCGCAATACTTTTATTAATTACGATATATATTATAATAATACTTAGTATTGTAATTTTTGTGTGATGACTGATTATAAGTATTTTTCGCGCGTAAACAGATCATGTCTTGGTGGAGGCGCTCTTCATCAATATGACGCTAAATGCTGTCGTTATACAGAAACCTGTCTCGTTTCTAACAAATTGTTAGTAGTTAAACTGTTAAAGTAAACAATCATTTAATAAAAATGGGAGCAAAGGTCAGATTGTACGAAGTCGAGTTATTCATGAAAAAGATAGCTAGGAAGCGCAAGCTACGTAAATATTGAATAAAATAATAATTCTGAAAATTTTATGTAGTTTAGTAAGCGGGAAATAGCACTGTGAATTTGAGTAGTGCCATATAAACGTTTCAATTGGTGTCCGTAAAATGTATTCCTGGCCGAATTTTTCTGATAGTTTCAATTGACTGAACAACTTAAAAAAATAACAGGAACGATATAGTTAATTAATACCTGTGGCATAAAAATTTCACGAAAAAACTTTGTACTTGTGTTCACTGTGTGCTGTATTTAACGCCATATAATCAATGTAGGTAAATGCTTTGCGCGTATCCTTGCAAATGCATAAAAGACAAGGTACGAGATAGAACTCAGTTCACCCGCCAAGATGTAGTCAGCCTTAGCCGATAACACAGTGAAAATTTTCAAAAACAACCTGATTAATTCTTTCTACCGTGCAACTATCAGACACCCACGGGATCATATTTGTTGTTTGTCGATTAGTCAGAGGAAATATAAACAGGTCTGATCCCTATTCGAATTTTAATGCCTTTCAACTTGTCTTCATTATATTATAGAACATGCTAATCGATGAATTACCTTTTATGGTTAAGTGCAATCGTTGCTATAATATACCTCATATTTATTCATCTTGTCAACACTGAACAATGTACATTAATATCCTCAGCTATCTAAACGTTATATCTTGATCCCCAGGGTTCACAGTCCGCAAGTAGTTGACCACGTTGGGACTCTCGTTTTTAAAATTTCGTCAACAGCCTTCGACATAAGATTACATAACAATTCAAGCATCAGTGAGTAACAAGCTCAGCTGGTAAATATTTTGGAGAAAGAGACGGCGATTCACCCGCTTTGTTACGTGTGCCGTAGATAAAGAGAAATGATCGAGTACGTGAGTCTCGACGAATGAAAAGCTCGCGCAGGTGAACGCAACGCCGCAGTTTGCAAAACGCTCGGTTCAGAGTAGTTCGACTATCGCTGCAACCCGGCAAGGGTTTTAAAGGTTGCATTCTGAATATTATCAGAGCTAATTATAAAGCAAGCGTTTTTAAAAAATAGACTCGTTATTCTTATGGGTACCAGACTGCACTCACAATACTGCATTAGTGAGTGCACTAGAAACAGGAATTGACTTGACATGGCCGAAGTGGACGGCAATTCAATGATATGTGTCCGAAATTTCGCACCGCAGTAAAACTAATTGAAATTTTTTTAGAAATGGAATTCTTTGATCTTTTATCATTGTGTGGACCGGGCCATTTTGGTCTGAGTCTCGAAGCTGTACCTGTTTTAGTTTTATAAAAGTGCAATTTTCTCCAAACCTTAAAATTTGGTTATACTCTGGCGATATGCCATATTTCACACCGTGTCTACCAATTCGCATTTCAAATATTTTATTTATTTTACGTAGAAATATAAATTAAGATCAGTATATATATTATTTTAACAGCAATAATCTGAAATGGATTCTGATTCGGACGACAAGACAATAAAGTAAGTGCAGCTAAAACATCATCGTGTGGGTTGGGTGGGTCTATTTCTTATACAAGGTACGCGAAGGTAACAGAACTAAATTATATCACATACCTTCTCGAATTGGAGAGCTCAAAAAATAATCACTCTCGAGGTATACACGTCAAATAAATGTATTTTATTGAGGCAATAGCTTTCTATAAACGTATATAAACTATATTTTGCCTATTTTCATTGCGGTCAATGTTAGATGCCAAGGGATTCAATAATACATGAAATACACAAAATTGGTAATCGAATTTATAGGTTTCATTTTTTTGGACACCCTGTATAACTCGAAAATACAATTGTATCGATTTCTCAGCAGACAACTTTTGATCCAAAATAGAGTACTTGCTAATCATTCCTGTCATAACAATTTTCATAGTCTCATAATATAACTGATTCTTATGATTTGATCAATAAGGCTCCAAACTGTTGAAAATCAAAACCAAATATGATTCTATTTTGAGTACATCTTCATCATGATATGTTACATCAGTTCAATCTCATTACATATAGTCAGATGCAATATAATGTTGAATTCATAGCCTGTTGTTATGTTTATTTTAAATTTATTTATATTTGATGACAATGATTGAATGCCTTTTAAAAATGTTCGTTCAGTCCGGGATGTGCATACCAACCAAGTATGGTAGAAACAACTATGATCTTCATTTAATAACGTGCAAGATACTTTGCAACAGTTCAATGAGCAAGTTATTTTAACGATGAATCAATCACAAATTTTATTTTCAATGATTTGTTTCGAGCGCTAAGTCAATTTCGCACGGCCCGTCGCTTTAACTTATTGATTTTTAGAAAATAATTTTTAAAAAGTTTTCACGAATATGAATAATTTTACAAAGGTGTTGATGCTTATTTTGCCACATAAAAAACATATTCTTTGACCCGTATTCTTTGTGTAAATGCTCGATGGCCGAGCAAATCAAATATTAATTTGTTGATGTTTCAATATCGCTATTGTTCGAAATAATGTAATTAGAAAACTAGCTGTAAATGAGCTGGATATTTACGTGATATATTTTACAGGCATTCGTTAAGAAGGAATGCTCTTGGAGTCACACCAAGTTTGCCGTCACCGGAAAAGAGACTTCGCATGGTTGTGCTTGGAGCATCCGGAGTTGGTAAATCTCAACTTGTATCCCGATTTTTGGGTCGACCTTTCACCGGAGCGTACCTACCGACTGCCGAGGACTTTTACAGAACAAAATACATTATCAGTGGAAGAACGTATCAGTTGGACATCTTGGACACTGCCGGACACGTCTTGAGTCCGGTTATGCACAACCTAACTTTGTTAACGGGTGAGTTATTGCAGAATTTCAAGAATTTTCATTTCTTACCAGGTGAATTATCTGAACGTCGGTAAATGTGACTGTGATTTTACAGCAGTTTAATTGTGGCTTTTATTTACAACACATTTTGTGTAAAAAAAATTTTCAAATATCAAATTTTGGAAAATAATTATTTTTTTAAATACAAAATTCCTAACTTTGTCATAAATTAATTTAATCCTAATCAACCACTTTTACTATGTAATGTTCACCCGGAATGTCGTATTTATATACTGTATACAGACAAATCGATGGAACCGCAGAACGTAATGATACTTTTGGCAATCTTCCGGCTCGCTTTTACTAGCCAAGTAAATATAGATCTATGGGGCTAATTACTGCCAAGTTTTGTTGACGCATAGCAACACTAATGCGAAGTGATTTGTTCCATTTGGAGACAAAAGCGTGTCTTGGCTTTCGTTTGTGAGCGAATACGCAAATGGATGATTCACGTCGGTTGTTATTATTTATTTAAACATTATTCAAAAAAAAACTATGTCGAGAGCGCGGAAGTATACCGGAAAATTCTTATTTATAGAATACTCGGATAGTTAAGTTCGCAAAATTTATATGTTTTTGCTAAACAAAGCAATTGTTTCTGATAACATCAGCCGGATCATATTTATTTGGTCTGAATTAAAAAAAATTGTAGTGGTTTTATTAATGGTAAAATAATAATTACAAAACAATCCGTATGTTCATTTTGTGTCCAATAAAGTTTGCGAATACATACGATTGCAAAGCTACTGCCATAATGGTCTCTATAGTCTTCTGCAGCAAAGTGTTGAAATGGGGATTGGGTCCAAATATTCGTGCTTATACCAATATTGTAAAGTATTAACTTTAAATCGCACAATAATTTAGAAGGATATGTTTTGTGTCAATTCAACAAATTATGAGATTCTTGTGTGTTTACGTAGCGACTAAGCTTAAGTAGCATTTGCGAACAACGAGCTTTTCTACGATATAATAGTCACGTGTACTTACATTATGATGGGGATTTTCATTCGAAACCCATCGAAAAATTGAAAACAAGTGAAAACTTTGTACCGTAATATATTTGTCATATCCAGAAAAATAGAGCTTGATCCGCGATGACGTCAAAATTGCGTGGTAGCCACTTATCCCTGTGAATAGTTTTTGAGTTGGAATAATGAGTAAGGGGTTGTTTACTAAATTTGTTAGATCAAAGGTCAATAGACCGTAACGTTAGCCCGCTTTCACTTTGGCTAGTATCCGGGAAAGAAACCCATTTACAAATAATTTGGTTTATTTATTATTTGAATTTCAAACTTTGACCGCTAATTTTGAATAAAAAAGTGACGGACGGACGACGTCAAGAAAAATGGAAAATGTACCTAATTCATTTTAGTCGACTTCCCAGACCTGTCGATGTTGTGTTTGAGACATTGGATCTTTGCGAGGCTTTGCGATACCGCAAGTTATCAAAATCGAATGTTCTATTATTCTGAAACACTCGGGGCGCGGCGTCATATTGCCATGCAACGAATTCGCTACTTTTCCTTTATGTGGTGTGAGGTGTTCTGTGTTAATACAGTACCGATTATGGGAAAAACTCGATGTTTTTCTTTCGGAACGAGGTAGTATTAACACAAACAATTACGTAACACGTAATGACAAACAGGCGCGGAACGTACATTATTCACAACTGTGTGTCAACATGACGAAGAATCGCCTTGCACCAACAGTTTCGGTTTCAGCATGGACAATAGCAAAACGACCAAGTGCACGTATACTGTTTATAGTGGGCCGATTTATGTTGATCTTTGTTACGCTTACCATGTTATTTATCTAAGGTTGCGTCTACTCCTCATAGAAATATGAGTAGAATATCGCCTCGAACAAGCTGTTTTTCAATAGGGAATATATTAATTTCAATACTAATCTGCAAACAAATTTACACGCGTGTACATTTTCTGTAAACCGACGCTAATCCATCCTACATAGCCAGCTAATCTCACTGTTTTTCACCTAATCACTTGTATAGTAATACCCATAATTTTAGGATTACATAATCAAACTATAATAATGGGTATAACTATTACATCACAATGGATTATATTGAACTAATGGAGTGCACTGATCAAAAAGTAATTTTACATCAATGTTAAAGCATAGAGACCACGTGACAGAGATTCAAAAACAATAAAAATCCCGAATTAGCATTAGTAGCGAGGTAAATTCCGATGAACTTGGCAGACTTCAGGAATTTCGACGTCACGTCAAAATGAAAATTAATGACGTGGTTATTTGCAATTCTAAACAAACACAGTACAAATATCCACAAAGATAAGAAAGAATCAACACATTATACTCTTTTTTTGCAGAAACACATGCCAACCATGTTCATAATATAAACTACAATAATCTTTGGCGAATTTCGCTGACCTAACCCATAGTAATCGGGAGAAGCTGAAGGCCATTTACTGTTGCCAATAAATAAATCAATACAAGTTCTATCCGCTAGAGTTCAGTCTCTGGAGATTGCATTACTTTGCCGAAACCGATAAAGATCACAACTAAAAGCGAAACAAAAGCTTCTACTTTGAAATATGATTTTTTGTGACACATGGTAAAATAAACCGGATTTTGGCTACTTTTCAATAGACCGCTCCACGATACTGGTTACTAAATACTAGACATCTTAAACATGCACAACAGGCGAGACAGCACCGAATTTAGTCAAACCAAACAACAAGCAAAACATTTCCATGGCCAATTTAAAAAAAAAAATTAGTTTCAATGTCAAATAAAGATCATTCGACAATTTCTACAACTCATTAGGGAGAATTTTTCTAATCATTGAACTAATATTATTGTTTGTCAAATGAGTAACAAACTGTGAGATCCAACATATGTCCCAGTTAAAAAATTTGACAAATATACGAGCATCTGTAAGTAATTTTATCAAAGTATACCGAATGAGAAATATTGAATCGTATATCGAACACATGACTTTTTTGTACCTGCTAGCCAGAGTCATAATGAATAGTCATTATGAATGTACAGGCTTTTTAAAAAATATATGTTTGGTACTGTAAGAACCGTATATGAGAGATTCTGGAATATCAAATTTAGGTTATAACGAAAACATTCTTATTATGTGTAAAAGGGCACAAAATAATGAAATGGATGCCTGCTCAATTTTGTTTTAGAAGTTGAAAATTCAGGACATGAAAATATTTGTTTTCGAAGACTTACATTGTCAAGTTTTTTTTTCTTATGAAATGTCAATCCATCCATCACAGTGGTAAACGCTATTTATATTTTACACATTTTGTAAAAAGAAATTGCATCGATAGAGGCAAAACGCTAATTTAGACGCCGGAAACCAATAATATACCAAAAAAATAACCACAGCAAAAAATGTTCTTATCTATAGCATGAGTGAATTGTGATTTTTATATGTAAATTCATCTTTATATATAACTGCATTTGCGGTTGACTCGAATTTATATTAAATTTTGTGGTCTCGCTGTTAATATTGTTACTATAGACTGGAATCAATGGAGCCAGTAATTCATTGAAATAAATAAGAATTACATAGTGATTAATAGAAAATGTCGTGTTATCTAATTGTCTAATACCAAGCATATAATGTAGACGTCTCCACTCTTACTGGTGTCTCATAAATTACAATGAAGTAGAGTTTTAGAGTACTGGTGTTGAAATCATTCATATTTAATTTTATCTGTTTCAGGCGACATGAAATATACGCTGCGTTTTACGTCAAAACATATTTGGTTTCTCATGTCGCATGTCGAGAAGTTTTACATTTCACTTGTATTATGTAAATCGTAGATTAAATGCCACAACACAAAGTCACTTAGAAGTTGAAATATGAATTGGTACGTCTAACGAAGTAATAATGAGTTGATTTACATGGTTTTGTCTATAGGTGATCTTTTTCTTGTCGTCTATTCTGTGGCCGATCGTGGAAGTTGGGAAAGAGCAAAAGATATTGTTGACTCGGTAGAGGAAGTTACACGTGATCCGAGACGAACAAACAAATGCATAGAAAGAAGTTTCAAGGTTTGGTTGAATGTTATGATGACTTTATTTCTATCGTCCTAAAGAAGGTCTTTAAGCAAATTCAAAATTACAACCGAGTAAAGTAAAAATATTGTTTGTAAACACGATAACTTGGTCCCAGTGGTTAGCGCAACTATGTTGAAAGAGACGCAGTTCGAACAGTCAATTCGAAACAGATCGTATCGTATAGTATTAGGTGAAGATTTTGTACATTCCGAAATAGTACTTATATTTCATTTGATGCTTGTACAAAACTTTATTTGGAGGAATCATGTGAAATATCTTTATAATTGGATGACAATTCGGAATTACAATTTAGTAATAATCTTGCAGCTTGGAACAATCTTATTTTCTTGAAAAGAGGATTTTTCGCCGAAAAGTGACTGTGCGTATGAAGTATGGACAGACAACTTGTGGATTTGATAGCTACCGCAAATCTTTATGAACCACTCTAATGATTATACGTTCTGAGATGCTATTTACTAATCTAAGTAATTCTCTTTTATTTTAGAATCTTCTCTATGCTAACGGAGGAACATCATTTCAGTGTGATAAATTTGAAAACGGGTTACAAAGACGAACTAAAGATCAGAAGCAAAAAATGATGCCCATACCAATTCTAATCGTTGGAACAAAATGTGATGTTGAAAACCCACAAATACAGCCATATGAAATTCACGAATGGCTTCGACAAAGGCCTGCTAATGCTGCCTCTTTAGTGGAACACATTGTTGCTTCCGCAAAGACCGATCACAACGTCCAAGCCCTGTTTGACAAGCTATTTTCTATGTCTTGTCTCCCAAAAGAACTGAGTCCGAATATGCATAGAAAAGTGACGGAGAATGTATATTCTATAAACAGCTCTTTGGCTGATTCTACATCCCACAAAATAGACGGTCGACCCAAAAGCGCCGAGATGCGTGAATATCAGAGACGGCCACGCCACTCTTTAACAAAAAAGACGTCACATCTACGAACAAATCCAGGTTGCCATTCTTCTGGGAGTTCTTGTTGTAATTCGTCTTCGGACAGTGATGACGGCCCCTCTACGAACGCAATCGCAACCATATGCAGCAATCAACGACGTCCGAGCGTTGACACAGAGGTTCTTCTTGCATTTTCAAAGGTACGAACCTATTCACCTGAAATGAAACGAAAAACCGTCGGCGTTTCGACAAAAGATAAACTAAAAAAGCATATGATTAAATTCAAATTTTCCTAGCTCATTTGAAAAATATTGCTATATTTCTTTCAGCCATGTATAGTATAAAAACGATTGATATTCTCATTATTAGTAACAAATATGAAATTGACTTCAGTGGTGCGGTCCATAAAAGGACCTCTGTTTGCTGAAAAAATACTATGTGAAAATGCTTATTTGCTAACTCAGAATGTTTTTGAAACGACAGTAAAATTGATAGTTTAAGTTTAAGACATGATGCTTTGTTTGAAGCATTTTGGAGCATATGGTGTTTATTCTATTACTGTAGGTGATTTTGAGCACTTAAGAAACAGCGTTTCTTTATTCTACAATGTTTTGCCAAATGTTCAATGAAATAAACCCTTTGGACTTTTAAGTTTATGATCCAATTTTTCGAATCGTAAAACTTATTATAATTATGATGTATCTGTTGAGTGGTTTTGGAACTCCAATTTTTATGTTGTATCGCTTGAAATATAATCAGTTATCTCGCATTCATTTAATATAAAACTGATATTAGAATTAATATCATTATGTTGCAAATAAATAGTACCTTATTGAAAACACACACATTGTATTGTTTTGATCTCTAGATTTTGAAAGTAATCTCTGTCTAAACTAAATGGTAATTGCATAATATTCGGTTTTCCATTGCGGGTTTGATATAAAATAGGACATATAAATAGAATGACACTAATGTGGTTGGAAATGTCCGATCTTCATGGTTCGATTTTGAAAAACAACTTTATTCCAGTTAGGGAACTTCGAAATATCATATAGGCTACATGTGTTGAATTGAGATTGGATCGTATAAAATATGTACACTTTCGTTAGAGGCAGGATGAGTTTTCTTTTTAGATCATGGAAAGCCGTTACTGGGATTACTGGAAAGCTTTCTGGTATCTCTAGTTTCTCAAGAATATTCAAATTTTTGACACATCGTTTTGCTCAACGATAGGCTAGTTTTGGAGGGAAAAGATCAACTCGAGAAAATAAATTTTGGCATGTTGAAGTCAAGCAACATCATTAGCGATAACTTTGGAGCAGTCCTTCTCGTGAACGTCTAAATCCCGATTAAGAGTCGAAAAAAGTCCGCAGAAATTGTCTATATCAGTGGTTCAATCGGGGCCCGAGGACCCCTCAAGGGTGTCACGAAGCAGTTCAAGGCGGGCCACGGCACAAGGCTAATAATTTATTATAAAGCAACTTCGGTTGCGTACTACTCATTTAAAAGAAAAGTTCCCGTTTACCTCAGTTTTATTATCTCAGTCACAACGCGTATTCACTTTCTTGTGTGTGTGAATTGTTTAATCATAATGGGATTTTGAATCTACTAATCAGAATAGTTTGTCAGTAGGCCGTCTATCCTGCAGACGGGCAGTATCGCTAGAAGGCGAGATAATCGTCGATATCATAATATAACTGCAGAAGCCTATATGTGAATTTCCATTCCCCAAAGTACGAAAATGGAACGACAGTTACGTTGGCTTTGGCTTTATTGATGACATGGCTGCCGATGTATGCTAACAATTTTGCTTTGAAATCAAGCAAAGAAGACTTTTCGAGTTTCTGGTTATCCCTTCGCCATTCTCACTTATTACTTGTAGGAATGCTTCATCATTGCTAGTTCAATTTGCCACAACCTATCTGTGCGAATCTATTTTTTCTGATCTTGTTACCAACAAAGCAAAATTTAGGAACCGCCCTGATGTTGATAGTGACAATCGCCTGGCTGTATCGAAGACGGTGCCTGATATAAGAAACCTAGTTAGACAGTCCCAATCGCAAGATTCACATTGATTGTTTACTAAAAAGCTTTTTAAAACCACCCCAGATAAATTCCCATGCCGGATTTAGGACATTGCTTAGTCGGATGTTGTAGAACTATATATAGTATTGAAGCCTTGCCGATGCATCTTACCTAATTCCTAAATAGGTAAAGATAAAGTGATAATCGGCAAAAATACAAATCAATAACATAAACTAGACAGCGATCGGAGACCGCCGACTTATCGATCTTCCGCATGTTCAATATGTTCTCGACAATTTTGACGGAGTACGATTTCAAATGTGGTATTCTCCCAAATTGAAATCTATCCGTTGGCCACATTCTGAATAATTTCTCCTGCAGAAACACACAGCAGTATTTCGCCGAAAATATTAAACTATGTGGTTAGGTAATTGGTTGTTATAAACACTGTGTCATGATCCGAATAATACGTGTCCACAATATCAACAACAATGCTGTCATCCGTACAATTTCTATTAAAATACATGTGATCAAGCAAAGACCCATAATCTGTGGTCGCGCGATTGGTGGGAATATATTGTCGGAAACCAAGCTCATTCATTTTTTCCATGATAGAAGATGATCGATTATGGAAAATATTATCATTAAAATCTCCCAAGATGAATGTTGGAGCTCCTTGTGGTATGAAGGTCATTAATTCAGACAATATGTTAAGAAATTCCAACTGCGGAAAACTCGGTGGTCTGTAAATTAACAACAAAGTGAATTCTTTATTCGTGGAAGTTTTCAGTCGAATCATTTTATGCTCAAGCACATTCGAAGATGTTTTTATTTCAACTGGGTTCAGCTTTCGCGAAGCACAGACTAATAATCCGTGCTTTCCACCATGATTTTGTTCACTGGGTACGTCTTCTCTAAAGGAAACGTAGTCAAATTTGTTGGTGAATTTGTCTATGTTGTGGCGTTCCGTCAAATATGTTTCTGTGAAACAGCAAATATCAGCATGACGAAAAATTTCACCCTTTGTATAAGAAACTATATCGTCCATCTTTTTTAAAAAGTACCTTATGTTTAAATGACCTATCGTTAACCAATTTGATTTATTTAAATCTGTCAATGTGGGTGGACGTTGGTGTGCTATGGGCATTGTACGCATGTTATTCATCACTTCAGAACACTCAGAACTACATCGGATAGTACAGGGATCAAAATCAGTCAGATACAAATTTTCCAACTTTCTAACTCGGGACAAAGCGACATAAACTTGCCCACAGCCAAATTTCTTTCCCTTTGTGTTGACGACAATCTTATTTAAAGTAATACCTTGACATTTGTGAATTGTGACGGCCCAACCAAGCGTCAACGGAAACTGGTATCGGGAAACTTGTGCTCCTTTGCCATATGCCTTTTCGAATTTGGCTTCCCTGCGTGTTATCGGCACGAGGCGGGGGTGTTGCCTTTTCCATCTACTCTTAGCCATAGCTTTTCGTCCAACATTATCGTTGTCAAACTTAATCAAATTGCTGATTACAAATTCTTTGTCATTTTTTGCAATATATTGAACGGTACCCATTACTCCATTCACCAAACCGTCACTCGTGTCTATATTATAAAGCAACATGACTCTACACCCAACAGCAATTTCCAAGACGGTGTGCAAACCGCCGGTTTTGCATCTTTTTAACTTTAAACCAGATGCACGCAAACTAATTAGAGACAACCCTCCCCTTTTGTCATCTATGGCCGGTATCACAATTTTTTCGGGCCCACTTTGAATCAACTTATTCAGTTTGAATAAATTCCAGTTATCTACGTCGTTGTTGTAAGCAAAAACGTGCAATGCCTCCTCTGGATAGTTGAGATCGGAAAGATGAATCTCCCTTGTGCGCAGTGTATCTATGTCGGCTCGTGTTTGATTTCCCAATCGAATCCGACATAACAATTCTGCAAAATTTCTATCGTTTTTTTGGCGCATAATTTCATCTAATTCGTGCAAGTGGAAATAATCATTCCAAAGAGACCGACCCAGGCGCATAGTTTCATCAGAAACAGGACAAAATATTTGAGGCTGACAGACCGGAGGCAATTGGAACAAATCACCGACTGCTAAAACAGAAACGTTTCCAAACGGAGCCGCATTTCCCTTGATCACTTGCAGGCGTTTGTGAATGTTTAAAAGCATGTCTGAACTTACCATGGAGATTTCATCGATAATTAATACACGTAATCTGCCAAGATGAGATCGCAAAGTATTCAGTTTTTCGAAGGATATGCCGTCGTGTCCACTGCTAGCTTTCCTATTTGTTAACAGTAGTTCTTGAAAGAGCGAAATATCTTCTTGTATCGTGCTGAATCAATTTTATCACATGTGATTTCCCTACTCCACCAGGACCACTTAAGAAAATTCTATATGGTTCAACAGAACCGTTTTGTTTAATTGCAATAACGGCATCCTTGCACCACTTCCTGTGATGGAATACTATAGCCCTTTGCTTCTCATTCAAGCAGCGTATCATATTACAATATTCAGATGTAGATAATACATTTCTGTTCTTTTCGATTTCGTATCTCGCACCTATGTCACTTTTGGGAACGGCAACACGTTCGACACTCTCAATGATCGCTGAGTTGGCAGCAAGATCCTCTCTTATCATGGTGGTGTAAGGTGTATCACCTTCCAATTTATCTTGTCGATTTGAAAGGTCACTTTCCATGCCAAGATCGCCCCACAAATGAAGAGGAGGGCCGCTCACTGAATTTTTGTGAACAGCTGAATCAACTAACTCCACATTGTTGCAATACCGTGATTCCACAGCAGACAATTTGTCTTGTATTTCCAAATAATAAGATGAATATGTTGGATGGTCCGCCAACAGGTCGCGCTCCTCTGAACGCCACGGGAGGTATAACATCAATTTGGCACGGCAAAAATTGTTGAAATCAGTTTCATTGTTATGTTTTCGAAAACGAATTATACATTCTCTTCTTCTTTTACTCATTTTCCCAAGGCCGCGTCTCAGTACAATATGCTGGGGTAAATCATAATGAAGATCTTTATTCCCGTAATCGTCGTGCAACAAATCTTTTACGCTGTCATCGACGTGTTTGTCATTTTTTCGATAACTCACTGCATAATTTGCAACGAAAGTTGCTAAACACACATTGTCCAAGCTACTCGGCCTCGCCGAGTATCGGTCAAGTATATTTTTTTGAAATATGTCACTATCTTCGTCTTCCAGTTTCTCCAGTTCTTTTTTTGATTTTAAGATACACTGTCGTTCTGCAACAGGATCAGTGTGTATGTAAATAACAGATCTACTCATTTTTTTCATTGGAATGGATAAGATACGATAACATGCTTCCTGAGCACTTAGTTCTCGATTATTTAAAAAGACAGAGCTTATTCGCCTAAGCATATTTTTTATATCAAAATCCTTATATTCTTTGCATGCATGTTTTAATAGCAACCCCATTCCCCGTTCACTTTTCATCATATACGATGCGACATACATGACACATGCATAAGGATCAACAACACACTGGATATCCATATTGGCTTGCCATGCCTTTAATATCACGGGGTTATATGCGTTGATGAAGCACTCCGCCGGCTTTCTGGCTAGGATAACAGTGTTGCCTTTTTGTGACATACAAAGTGCCTGCCGATATTGTTGATTATCAATATCAATATTTTGTAGTAAATCGTTCACACTTACATCCGAACTGGTGTCTCGGTACGACGACGATAGCGTATCACGGACTTTTTTTAAAACAATTTTAGACTGGGCCATTAATTCACTCTCATCCTCCTCGA